TCGGTCACACACTATGTGGGGCTGCCTTGAAGACCACAAGGACACTGCAATTGCAGAATGTGGTGGCCAGGCTGTTAGTTGGGGGATATCCTCTACAGAAGAGTTAAACTTTTCTTGAAATTGCTACACTGACTGCCAGTAAGGTTCTGGGCCCAAAAGTTCTGGTTACACACTTTTGGAAGAATGCTTGTGTGCCAGACTGAACGACATTTGTCAACTCTCAGCCGTTGAACTAGTTTTGTACTGATGGAAAGGCAAGCCAGTATGATTCTGTATGGTCTAGATTCAATTCACATTTAGAAAAGCCCTGACAACTGTTTCATTTCAATGGAGCTTTGGCCTGTAGTGAGGTTTTGGGTGCTTGTCTTCATTATACGTCAAATTTTAGATAACTCATATTTTGTTAAATGTATGAATGAACTATGGAGCATCAGGTTGTGAAAGGCAAGTTTAGGCACACAGCTAAAGTGGAAATTTCTTTGCCAACTGCAAATCTAACTTCCCTAATTATTATTTTTGGTTCAATTCCTTCTAGTAATCATCGTCATAGTCTTCTCCTGTTTAGTAAATAAAATAGGATGAGTCAGAGTTTCTTTATCGTTTGTTTCCTGGAGTTTTGGGGAGCAATTAAAAGCCTTCATCCTTTGCCAACTTCTCTAGGACTGCCAAGGAAAAAGAAGTAAGCTCAGAGGAGAGCCCCATGCTGTAGGGGTGATCTTGTACTGGGAAGGAAAAAAGGTTGGCTCTTTTATCTAAGGGTTTCTAAGGGTTTCTAAGGAAAAGCCATGAATTTACAAAGCAAAAAACATTTCTCATTCTTGCAGTTCAAATGCTAAGGTAGTGAAGCTGGATGTGGTCAACAATGAACAAATAGGAAGAGTGATGAGAGGTTGTCCATGGAGTGTGGTGAAGCAGTCTCTGACCATTTTTTCTTCTGAGGGCTCTTCTACACTTTAGCACTAAAGTGCTGTTATCCATTGTGGAAGTCAACACAAAAAGTATGCTGGCTTAAAGTGCTAGCCACAATGCAGACCACTGTTCTCCCTTGGGGATAAATTAAAATGGGGTTCTGCCCACACGAAGAGCCAGTGGGAAGAGAGGGATAGGATGGGAAATGCCTCCTTTGGCAAATTAATATCAGCAGAACACTTGCAGGCCTTCTGTTATCAGTCTTCTATCCTATGGAGATTTTCCATGCAAATGATCTATTTCCCCTTTTCTTCCTGTTTTTCCTGCACCCATAGCAAGAAAAATGAAAAATTTGGCTTTTTGACAATAGGTGAGTCCCAACTCTCCCACTGCCAGAAGGGAAATGACTCCAAAATTCAGTGAACAGACACCACAAGGAGGACATTCCCATAGTAGTCTCAGGTAGCCACTGGTAGCAAGGCAGGCTCTCGCCCCAAACTTACCTCAGAAGAATTTGTGACAGAGTGACTGTTCAGCAAGGCTTATGCCAAGAGAAGTGGAAGAACATCACTTTTGAAGAATAGTATGGAAGGATGGGAGAACCTGCCTTCACAGTGGGCTGGGAGATAGATGAAGACAACACTGGGCATTCATGTCTTCAACCAGTCATACTAGGTGTCTTCACACTGAGATAAGTGTGCTGTGTGAATGAGTCCTAAGTCAGCAAGGAGTACTTACTATAGCTAACCTGATAGCCTGGAAAGGGAACAAGAATATTTGGTTGATTGATTGATTGATTGACTGATTGGTTGGGTTACCCAATTCTATCACAACTCCGAATGATGTATAATGCAAGACAATTTAAAACGAAGTAATATCAAACAATACAAAAACAAATGTCTGAAAAAAATAACACAAACTCTAACAGGCCAATCATCTACCACTCGCTCTAGCCAAGGTCTGGGGGAACAGCCAGGTTTTAAGGGCTTGTTTATATAAGGTCAGGTAACCTTCTACAGTATTTGTAGAGTCCTGCCCTGAAGATACATGGGCAGGACTCAACAGCTGTGACCTTCAGTGTGTCTAGTATGTTAGTGTTTCTGCCTGAAAAATAGCCTGGAATATATTTGCAGCAAATAAAACATATAATGGAACTTGAAGGGGGGGAAAAAAACCCAGAGGATTCAGGGAGTGGCCAATGAGAGAAGATGAAGATTTATCAGATGCAGTAAAAGAGGTGCCACTACAGGATCTGACAGAAGAAGCAAACAAACTTTCGTAAGGATGTCAGTCCAACAAATGAGAAGCCCATTGAGTAAGAATGATGATCAGAAGCAAGAGATGTATAAGATATTCTGCACTGCTGGAATGTAGCTTTCATCAAAAGCCAAGATGACAGCATAAGAAGCTTGATAAAGATCTAGAAGCAAAAGAAGCTGTATATAGAGGGCAAGAAAAGGAACAGGTCACCACCAAAGAAGAGTATTTACTGATAGCTTGGGTCTGCAGAGTTGGTTTTAAGAAAGATGAAGCTCAGAATGAGCTAAGATTGGTAAAGAATTCTAAGTACAGCAAAAAGGTGGGGGGGTTTTCTGGTAAGTTCAAAATAAAAAGAAAAAAAAATCAAAGGGCATAGCCAGACAGCAGCATTAAAGTGCAGTCCACCAGTCCTTGAGCCAGCAGAAAAATATACCAACATAAATTTGCTGCCCCAATTGCCAGTCCCTATTCTGCATCTGTAGGCCACTGAGTACAGTGTTTACAGTTTCAATGCAAGACAAGGAGAGAACATTCTCTGACCTTCATTTTTGGTCCTACCTGCTGGCAGGAGAGTCAACCACCAGTTGCTCTCTTTAAGGTGTAGTGGGATAGGTTGACAAGCATGGGTGAAAGTTTGAATAGTGGGTTTAGCCACCTGTCAAGGGGCCCAAATAGCAGGTTGCAGGTGCAGAGGTGCACCATGCCTATGAACTGTCTGCTGGGCTAATTCTGAAAACAGGTCCCAGAGGAGGCTGCAAGCATGGGGTGAAGCCATATGGTGCTCTCTCCATGCATCAGTAGAACTCCCTCATACTTCACCCTGTAATCCATGTCTAGCCTGCAACCTGTCACTCACACTCTTTTGACACTCTTCAAAAAAAAGAGCTAGATCGATGTTCAGAAATAGCCCAACTAGCTAATAGATTATAGCATGGATTCTGGGGAGCACTGGAGGTGCTCCCTTCCACATTACAATTGGGTTATAGGCTTGGAGGAGGAGTGTAGGGTGAAGCAGGAGAGAGTGATTGACAACAAGTGAGTTTCATCCTCAACTAGGGATTGGCAGTGCTGGCAGCGAGTGACCATGGTCAGCAGCAACTAAAAGTTGTCTATGAATAGGCACAATGGTGAAGGGATAGACAAAATGGTGCCCTCTTCCATCATAATAAAAAGTAAGCAATGCAAAGCTCCTTGTTGGCAATCAACGGAAAATCTGAAATGTGCTTGCTAGTACAGAACCAGCAAGACACAGCTAGCAGAATCCAGCTCCCTTTCCTGATTTAAACAAAATCAGGGCTCTCAGAGCTTTCTCAAGGCTACCTCAAGGGAATGCTGCTGTCCCTACAGAAGCATGGTTTCTCCTGCAACCCAAAGCAAAATAGCTATGGGGGCTATGCCCAGGGATTGGATGGGTGGGGGCAACCCCACAGCAGTCTCAAGTGGCCCATCGGAGCCCCAACTGCATCATTAACCATGCTGTCAGTGAAGTATGCCAGATTGTGTATGAGAACTATGTTGGGAAAAGTGTAAAAACCCTATTTTAAACCTGGAACAGCTTAAGATGACTTTAAGCTATCTCATTTGTGGACTAGAGATGACATGAAACTTCATGAGGACATGTCACACAAAAACAGTTACCAGGACATGTTCATACCATAGGTAGAAGGATGTGAGGATGAGCCCATTGTTAGTCTTTCCTCTCACCAGAGCTCCTCTTGCTTGCCAATCTTGTCTCATTTTTGGACCTAGTATGTCTTAATTTCAGCAAAGCATTGGACAAAGATTCCCCCATGAATGTGGGGTTGGATGGTCTGATAGTTAAGTGGAATCATAGGTAGAACAAAAATCTACAAAAAGTGCTCATCTATGATTCCTCATCAGATGGGAGGGAGGAATCCTGTAAGTCCTGGATGGTTCAATCCTGGGTCTTATACGCATCAACGTTTTTATTAATGATTTGAGTAGACACAGGGTTTTCACCTGAGACAAAAATCAAATGAGAGGGCAAATATCCTGGAAGGCAGATATAAAATCCAGAACCATCTTCCTGCATTAGACAAATGGTAAGAAAACATTACACTTAAATTTAACAGAGACAAATGCAAAGTTCTTCACTTGGAAAATGAATCAGAGCCACAGGAATGGGGGATACCTGCCTTGGTAACAATATTTGCAAAAAAAAAAAAAAAAAAGCCTTGAAACAGGAGTTGATTATGAATTGAATATGAGTCAGCACTTGGCTCTTTCCAGTACTATGGTTATATGATTTTCAGAAATGGGGAGGAAAAAAACCAAAGGGGGTGGGGGAGAGTATTTTTAACGTTAAACTGCCCTCAAAATGCAGTTTGCCAAATGGCAAACAGAGTTTTATGTATTCGGAATAACCTTTAGCGAATATGACTCATATACTGCAGAGATCTGTGAAACATAAAGCTTCATGAGTTGACAGATGAGGCAAACTCTCAGCTTCGCAGCCATCTCTGCCTTTCCGACCTCAACCTTCCCTTTCTAGTCTGGCGGGGAAGTGGGTTCCAAGCACTTGCGGGCGTATCCGTCAAAGTGTGGTTTTGAGGGCTTCCTTGCTCCCATGGAAGACCCCAGGATGCCAGCAGCCAGCGAAGGGGCGTGGATTGGCTCGTGACGTTTTATTTGCAGCAGAAGGAGAGCGTGCGAGATAGGAGGTGGCGAACAGCTGCAGGGGCAGCGGAAGGCGCGAGCGTGAGGGAGGGTGGCAGCCGCCGAGGCGGGCTGTCTGCTATCGGGAAGGGGAGCCCAGCGCTCGGCCGCCACCGGCTTCAGGATGTAGGCGATCAACGGAAGGGCTCTTACTGGCAGAAGGGCTCATCATGAAGAAACACTCGGCCAGAGTAGCCCCTCTTAGCGCTTGCAACAGTCCGGTTCTTACTCTCACCAAAGTGGAAGGTAACCGCGCGAGCCAGGATTCTGTCGCGTGCCGGGTAGTACTGGGCAGGTTGTCCGGGACAGAAAGCTCCCTTGCGTCCGGGGAGGTGGGTAGGATGCAGTCTTCGTCTGCCCGGGAAAGCCGCTGCCGTCGCCAAGTGGCAGGGGAACGGCCCGCCGCCGCGGCAAAAGCAAGCTTGGAGCGCTTTGGGGAAAGACCGGGGTGCACCTGCCCTGGTCCCCTGGACGGGCGTGGTATAGGAGAGAGGCTGCCCCAGGGAGGTCGGAGAAATGGATGGGCTGCCGGGCTGCCTGCTGCAGTCCCCCCTCTCCTCCTGGCGAAGGAGGAGGGGGGGCAATTAAGGCATGCTTGACTTGGCTCCCTTTAAGGGAAGCTTTCGCCAATGCGGCTTCGCTGTCCCGGGGAGCTGAATGTCACCTTTTCGGATCGCCTTGCTGGCCCTCCCTCGCCCTTGTCGAGGGAGGTGAACGGCGAGGCGCCTCTCGACCTCCGGCCCGCCGTAAGTTCTCTCTTCGGGCGCAAGGTCTTCCCTGGTATAAACAAGCTGGAGAGGGTGGTGCGAACCTGGCGCATTGGAGGAAGGCAGCTCACTGGAAGATGGGTAAAGGCTCCGCACTTGGCTCTGGGGGTAGATCTATGAGGTAATTTGGCGGGTATCCACTTGGAAGCGCCACTGGGAGAAGAACTCTGCATTCCTCAGTGAAATGCCCCCTCTCTCCCCACCCCCGGTATGCCCGCTGTTGGGAGGGAGGGAAGACGACTTCTGGAAACACTTGAGGGCCCGCAAACTCTCGCGGCAGTTTTAAAGAGGGAATGTGGACCGACTCACGCCGAGAAGACCGCTAATGGCGTTGTCCGGTCGACGGGAACCGAGGCAGGCCGTCCACATTGGCAGCCAGACACGAGGCGCTTCGGGGATGAGCCGCCGCCGTTGCTCTAGGGGACCCTCGCCGTAATTCAACCTGGGCTACAGCAGCAACTGAAGAGATGTGCTTTCGCGACTTGAGGAGCAACCAGAGTTACCGGTGGCCAGAAGGCAGCACGCAGCGCGCCGTCCCGGGGGCAGCCCGGCGGGCGTGGGGGAGCGAAAAAAGAGGAGCCGAAAGGAAAAGGCCCTGCAGGGAGTTGGATGGGGACGAGAAGGGCTGTACTCCGGAGAACAAGAGGTTTGCAAGTTGTGGTTGGGTTTGCTGGTTGGTAGAAAGAACCCGCTGGGGAATAGGAGGGCTGTGAAAGAGGCAAGATGAGAAAAAGATAATTGTTGATCAGAGAAGGCATGATGGGAGGTAAAATAACTGTGGTTGGAATTTAGTGGCAGTGGTGCTGGCTGGACAGCTAGAAATGAGGAAAACAGAAGGGGAGAAAGGCTTTGAGATAAAAGAAGAAAAGTAGACTTTACAAGGCAAGTGTAGGGGGTGTTGGAGCATGACGCTCCACCCTGGGCAGGTTTACTCAGAGATAAGTTGTGCCGCAGCCTTCTAGATTTACAACTCTCAAATGTCAGTCAGCATGAGAAATCTGGAGGGCACCAGGTTGGGGAAGGAGTCCATTGCCTTGAACCATCACTGTCATTACATGGAACTACACGAAAGTATGCCATCCTGAAAGGATGCCATTTGTTTTCAAGTGAAGGAATGGGGGTGGGGTGCATTTTGCATTCTTCTAGCTTTAGAATTGAAGAATTGGCAGTGATCCTGTAGGTAAAATAGCAAATATATAATATCAGCTTGAAAGGCATTTTTAGCCACCATTTTCATCAAGCATGTCTTGTGTTAGTCTAATATTTCAGATTATATATGTGCTTTATTGGGATGGGGGTGGGAGATACAGAAGAGTCACCCATGAGAAGACGTATTTCAATATATATAGAATGATGGACTCTTATCACTACAAAGGCATTTTTATTAGTTGCTTTCTTAGTAATTGGCCCAGGCCAGACATGAATTGTGGAATGGAATATTGAGGGTTTTGCAGGAAGATGTGACAGAAACTTAACAACCGCATCACTGGTTGCTCCTCCCCTTGTCTTCATGAAGACATTTTTATTTGGACCAGAGACACAGGATCTTGTGTCAGAATTCTTTTCATTGATATGCATTATGCATTTCAGCATTACTACACATTTTCTTGTCCTTTAACCTTTCTTGTCCTTAAAATATAAGAATTTCTTGCATTCTGGTATGCAACTGCTGCTTCAACTTATTTTAGAGATGGGGTTTTCCCATAAACACTAAAAATGTATAACAGCACCTCACATATATAAACATTAGTCTGCAGATGTAATCGTTGCGTCTCCATCTCCACTAGATGACCTGACTATTTGGGGAAAAAGCTGGCAGGGTCAGACCTTGTTAATATTTGGATGGAAGTCCATCAGGAAATCCCAGGTCTATAGCTTAGATTGGGGAATTGGGGGGGGGGGATCTCCAGTGACAACTCACTTACATACTGTTGCTAGGAAAACTATATGGATGTGTCCATGTAGTCACTAGACTTCAAGTTTGATGCAAAGGAGTCTACATTTTATATCAACATATGATATGCTTTTTGTAGCTCCTACAAAGCTTAGAGTCACATAAAATGGCTTTTTATAATGGGTGTATACTCTCTTTCTTTTGTCCTAATAGGGTGTGTGTTTGTTGCCAGAACAAAACTAGCTAAGGATGAAATATTCACCTCAGATCCAGGATAAACAATGATCCAGGATGTTTCCAATGTTCTCTGTCTTGGATTCTTCAGTACCCTTTTTGCACTGAATATATAACACATATACTATAGGATGATCCTCAGACAATCCTTTTGGCAAGAGAGAACAAAACTTGAGTCATTTTGGAATCCTCGCCTCAAGAAAGGAAAGGGGAAATAGAGACTTTTCCTGAACAGAATCAAAAAGAGTTTTCCCAGCCCTACCATTTTTGAAAGATTGGGGGAGATCAAAGATTGCTGGAAAAGGGAGAATGGAGGGGAGAGAAGAAGCCCTGGATTGGGCCCCCAGAAACTTCCAGGAAGTCAACAAGGATAAGCCCCACTCTGAAAAGCACAGGGCAGTTCTCCAGGTCTATGGAGAAATAAAACTGCCTTGATTCATGGTAAATAGAGCTAATTTAGTTTGTCTAAAGCAGTGTTCCTCAACCTTGGCAACTTTAAGATGTGTGGACTTCAACTCCCAGAATTCTCCAGCTCCACACATCCTAAAGCTGCCACAGTTGAGGAACATTGGTCTAAAGAACAGAGGGGATAGAAGGAGCTTGGGATTGAGACCAAGAAGCCTCCCTGTAAATAAAGGAGTTAGGACGCTCCTAAGCCACTGATTAAAAATTGGAGATCAGTGGGAAGCATTTTATCCAAGTAAATGCTGAATCTAAGAGTAAGAAGGATCAATAAATTAGGATGCACTGTCAGGATTTTGTGCTTTATTTTCTGGGGCTGTGCCTGCTTGATTGTTTCTAATAGCTTCTAATAACTTTTGTGTATGATGTTTGGTGCATTTTGTGCAAACTCGGTTTTTGTAATTTTGTTTTACTCTAGCCTCTGAGCCATAAATCCTGCTCATTATAGATCAGTCTCCACCACAGCATTTTACTGGAGACATTTAAGCCACTGTGATATTATCAGTGCTACATGACATATTGCATCCACTTGTAATTGTTTGGGGCATTTGACTACCTAAAGTTAAAAATGTCCTGTTCCAGGCTGAGCAAACACATCAGAACTACTTACAAGTGGTTTACTGAGGAGGAGAACTTCAGCCAATCAAAAAGGCAGCCAGAGAGCCAGCAGTGCAGATGCACACCTGTTCTGGGAAAGATGGAGAACAAGCCCTTGCCCGATAGCCAGGCACAGCACAGGAGCTACAGAGTTCAATCTAGAATCAAGCATACACAGGCCCAAGGAAATGGGGTAAGGCAATGACAGAGAGACAACTGAGATCCTTAGCTGCCAGCGAAGCATCAGGAAATCTGTTGCCTAGGCCACACACTGCCCAACAGATACTGGCCATGAAAGCCTATGCCAGTATAGTGGTCCACAATAGTCCAGGAATAAAATAACAACAACACCTGATCCCCAATGACTCTGGGCTGCTTACAAGTAGAAAACATAAAACCAATAAAACAATACAATAGTAAAAACAAGAAACAAAAGACGGCCAAAACAAAAATATGGCATGAGAGAGAAATGTCAGAGAGGCCAGTCAGCCAGGAGAAGAGTAGGAAGCAAGGATACAGGAACATAGGTTTGCAAGTTGTTCCTAACAGAAGGGCAGCTGCTGACAACTATTCTTAAGTAAAGGCAGCTGCAGGCTCAGTTTAATTAAGGTGGTTGCAAGCTTGCTTCTTGAGGAACTGAGTAGATCGCTTTTGCTGGCAGCTGATGCATCATGGAGTTGGGCTCCTTGCCACAATCGGGTCCCCTTTCGCCTGACTCTGACCTCATCTGCTCCTGTTGACTATTTGCTGTGTTAGCCTCAGAGGCTGGCCACCTGTGTGACTCATAGCAAAAAGGATTTTTTTTCTTTTACTTTTACTTTTACTGTTACTTTTATTTTTAATAAAAAATATTTTTAAATTATATTCCTAAAAAATGATGGAGACTGTTTTTTGTCTGGTCATGTGCCTCAAAGCTACAAGGGCCAGGAGGTGATGCTACAGAGTTTAATTTTTCTTTTTTGATTACCACTACTATTATTATTATCGCTTTTTTTCTCTTCCTTCTCCTTCTTCCCAGTTTACTGGCAAGTACCTGCTCAAGCTGTGAGATGATGTCTGTCTCTCCCACAACTGGTGTCCAGGCAAAGGGTGCTGGGTAAATGCATCTCTCAAGTAACTAAGTGGTGGAGGCCATAAACTACTAAGCAGCTGTGCCAAGTCAGGAAAGTGGGGCAGGTAAACCTAGAGGATTTGTGAGAAAATAGGGTTTAGAATTCCTGCCTTTCACTCTATGGCTCATTCGCTGCCATTACACATACTTATCAATTGTAAAAGTTCCAATTTTAAAAGGG